ACACAGGATATGACATTATGCCCATAGAAAATAGTGGTGTTACTGCAAGTAAGAATAATTTAGTGTCACTGCTGAGTGCCTGCAACACAATGCATCTTTTGATGCAACCTATAAAACAGATTAAGACAAACTGGAACAAATTATTTGGTGTTGTAATGACTCATTTGACCCACAATCGCCCAAGTCAGCTTTAAGTACCATCAGGTGCTTAAAGTTGACGTCTCACAGATTCCCAAATTCCAGGTTTCGACACTCTGTGACCAAAATTCACTGAACCAACAGCAAAAGAAGACCAAAACTATGCTTCATGTTTGAAAAACATTGTAATGATTTCACTTTTATTTTGGCTCTCTTGCTTCCACCACTTCCTATCTCTGTACTTCCTATCTCTGTATGTGTATATATATCACCCTTAATCACACAGTGCACCCCTCACAAAAACACTTATATGTGAGAGGTGCTTTGCAAACACGGACCTATCTATGTGTGCTTCAAGACCAATTTTACATCAAAAACCCTATTTTCTGCCTTATTCGCTTGCTCATTATGTACACTAAAAAGCCACATTTCTGCTATTAAATACAGGAGAAATATCAATGTCTCTAATAAACCTCTCTAACTGAAAAATAGAAAGGTTATGTTTTTCACTAAAGAAATATTCAAAAAGAGAGCTTAGAGAGCTGGTTTATTGCAGATTTACTTACACAAGCAATTTGATGTTCATTGGCAAACATTTAACGCAAAAGAACTAGGTCTTATTTTTTGCACTCGATATTAATATTAGTTTAGATGGAAGCACATCTTTTATAAATCACTCTTAAACTAACCACGACTATGAGCGCTATTTAATGATAATTTTTGGGGGGGGGGGGTTTGGTTTTTTTTCACCAATCAATATGGCCCCAAAAGGCTGTGCAGGAACAGGAAATGTGGTACTTTTATGAGGCTGCGGTCAGAAGTGCGTTTTACGTCAGAAAATATAACAAAATATGCTCAAAAACGGGTGCAGTGAAGAGATTACAGCACTTGGAGCTGACTCAACTTAAAATTAACCTGCAGTGGATCTTGTGGAAATTTATCATTGTTTCAATTCAATTCAATTCAATTTTATTTATATAGCGCCAAATCACAACAAAAGTCGCCTCAAGGCGCTTCATAGATACAGAGAAA